GATTACTTTAGAAATATTTGGGGTAAAATTTGCCATTGCCTTCTACTTGCCTGTTTCTTCTACTGGGCTGAAGTCAATGTGTCTTACTTGTTTTCTATCTGATGTCTCACATTGCACAGGAACTAAGCTAATGTTTGTTAAATGACTGCATTATCCAATTTCATCAGATTTTACTTAGTTTCTTCATTCACATTTAAAAGTAATTTTGTCACCCCTTTGATTCATCCTTTTAGTTCCCTATCCAGAAATTTATAGAAGGAACTTCCATTTCACCTGTTCAACACCACAGACAATTAAGAATCTTAATCTGTTAATGACAGTAGACAAACTCTCACACTGTGTTTTTCTACAAAGCCCCACAAGGTGGTGCCCAAATATCTTTTTTCAATTTTTTTTTTTTTCAAATAGTCCTGCAATACCCATAGTTAGTCCCCAGTAAATTGTGTTTGTATTGGGCATTCCTGAATTTTGTCAATTAGCATAATGGGAAATATGTAATTAAGTAAAAATTACTTACATTAAATAAAATTTTACATGGTGTAATTTCAAGATCTATAGTTCTGGATATAAACAATGAATAATGACTATAATAAGGACTTTATTTTGTATAGAGTTTTATATTATGAAAAGGTTTTCATATCCCAAAATAGTAAAAATATTAATTTACTTCAAGTTCCTTTCACTGCAAACTTTGTCCAGCGTAATTTACTCTTAGTACAAAATTTAAAGGACAGAAGAAGAAATAGACTATTGAATAGGAGGAACTATATAATTTAGATGTACCTCAAAAAACAGATGGCTTTATTACCTCAATTAGAGACAATGTTGTATAAAACCAGAGTTGTAATAGGTTGACATAATGTGGCCTAATAATAAGTTACTTAATGTTCTTAAAGCACTTTAGCTCCAGGAATTTGATAGAGTTATTTTTAAGACCTCCTTTGTTGGATATTCTTATTAAATCCCAAATGGACTGTTCAGAAAACTCAAATGGGTGTTGAGTTTCTGAAACATATTCATGCAAGTGATATTTGCTTGTATGATTGGCTGTGTTTTCATCAGTTATCAATAACATACCACAGTTCACTGAAATCAGTATAACAAGCCCCAGCCCCTCAGGCCAACCTGCCGAAACCTAGAGGAGAAAATTCTTCAACCCAGGGTTCTAAGAAGTGCTGTTGATTGCCTTTGATGGCACAGGCAGAGAGAATTACACAGTAAGATGTGAGACTCATTATGTGCTAGAATTTAGTCTATGGTTATTTGAGCCATTTGCCACTAAAGCAAAACCCCTGTTTTTCAAACATAACTTGTTGGCCGTAAACCAGCCTCCTTTTTCTCCTGCTCTGGCACAAATCTGGGTGGTGCAAAGACTGAGAAATGTCCTAGAGTACTTAGTGGGAATGAAAGACAGCCAGCTGACCCACAAAGATCTGAACTGTGTCCTCTCACTGGCTCTTGGTATGACCTTTGGGTGGGTCTCAACACCTGCCTTTTATTTTATCATCTGTGAAATGAACAAATCAAATGAAAGTGGTCTCTAAGTTTCCTTCTGGTTCTGAGATTTGATGCTATTATTTGTCCCAGTACAAGAAAAATTTAAATCTCATCTAGTGGGAATCAAAGAATTCACCAAGACACAGTACAACTCTTTCTAATACCTGAAAGTAAAATCAACTAAATCAAAACCAGAAAATATTTTCCCCACTAAAAGCAGAGTTTGGTCAAGGCTTAAATGATGTGATCTTTCCCATTTGGTGGACTCTGCATGAAAAAGCTGGCTGCGCTATCCGCTAACTGAAGGGAATACAAAGAAAAAAAAAAAAGAAGCCAAACATTCAAACCTATGATAGGACAAAGATCTATCCACATTCAGATATATCTTAGAAAGGAAAATTGTAAATTTTTCCAAATAACAGGTTTTTTTTGTATAAAATAATTTGCTCATGGTACGGAATAATGTACACAGAAAGAGGAAATATCAATATTGAAGGAAAATTTTAGAAAAAGATTTTAATAGTGATAGGATTGATACGATGGGAATTTATACTTCACTGTGGTCTAGGGAACTATACAATTATTCAGGCTGTGGCCCAAATGATGAATAATGGGGCAAGATATATCAGGAAGTAAACAATACAAAATAATTGAATAGAGGGAATGTGAAAGAGCCTCCTCAATGAGAATTTGTTGAGAGCAGCACTGTAGTCATGCTGCTTAAGTAATGCCACACTTCCAGCATTTTATTACTAATGATAATTTTTCACTTCCTTGTTGTCTTTGAATGCTTTTAATCCTTCCCTTAGTTGATACATAGGGCCAGTAACATTTTGGTGTTCTGCTAATTTACTGATGAATGGCATGAGAGAATATCCAAGTTATACTCTTGGAGCCAAGAAGGATAACAAATTCCAGAAACTTCAGAGCTTTGGGGTAAATGTTAGAAATTCTACTCTATCAAGGTTTTATGCTGCAAAAAAAAAAAAAAAAAAAAAATAGAAGTGGACCTCCAGTGATAAATTTCTCCAACCTGGGTTAGAAGATGATTGACTTCTCCCTTCTCAGTTGATAAAGTTCTTCTCTACTCTCAATCAGCAGTGTGGGAGATGGCTGAAACTGGGAAAAGATTATGAAACATTACACTGTGCCTTCATTTTGATCCAGATGTAGAACTCAGATACGAGTTTGAGCTGATATTTCACTGGCCCTTTTTTGTGTTTCTATAACCTCATGCAGATAAAAACCTTCTGATATATACAAGTCACCCCAGACTTTGATTCCTTTTAAATATCCCTAAGACCCAAAAATACCATCACTACTGAAATGGAGATCTTGACACTGGCACCAAAACAAATAAAGCCAACATAGATTCTACTATGGGAGAGTATTAAAATTTCTGGAAAAGTTGAAAAAAATATTTCCTGCCTAGCAATGGTCCAGAGCAATCTTCTCTACCATGGTTCTCAAGTGATTGATGAACACTAAAAATTTACTTTTAATAATCAGTCATTCAACAAATATTTATTGAGTGCTTACTCTATGCCACCTGCAGTAATAATAGTGAAAATAGTGCACTTTTTTCTTTAAGGAATTTGCTACAGAACAACTGCCAGAAAGGCATGGGCTTCCAGTTGTCTTTTTGCCAGTCATCATTGTCATCCACGATGTCCTATTTGGTCTGTGTATGTCAACTGCACACCAATTCAAGACCATCATTAGGATTAAGATTGAAGTCTTCAGCCATGGCACATTGTTTCTGTGGGTGCAAAGCTAATTGCCTGATATAAATTGAGAGAACATACAGTTTTCTTTTGAGTCATCTACCCAATCAGCTTAGTGCTGATTGTCATACCTGGGAATGAGAGGCAGGAAACCCTGGGTTTGTATTACCCTTTTGACTTTGGGGAAAAGTCAGGAAATGACTCCAACCCCTAACCAACTCTAATCAGAACAGTTCCAAAGCAGGAGGGCTTTAGTCCATGTCTCCTCTCCAGGAGTCACCTGTTTGCCTCTTAATGGAATTATTCCCCAAGTTGTTAATCTAGAGAAAAAAGAACTGATCTTCTGAAAAACTGCCACTTCCTTGTCCTCTGAGTCTCATTTCACAAAAGTGAAAAGTGTGGCTAACATCCACAGGCTATTTAAGGTACCTAAGTGATTGGTTCCTGGGAGATGCCTTTTTACTTCTGCAATATACCTACTGTTCCTTCTTTCTATTACAAAAGCCCACAAAGCTTCCTCACTTCCTCAAAAACTGCTTTGGGGTGAGGAGACAATGATAATGAACATTCACACGGATACTTAATTTAATGATGCAACAGTTGTCAGTGAGGCTCAGAGTGAGAGAAACCGGAGTTAAGAGCCCACCCTGGCATCTCTAGCATTAGTTTAACAGGGGGAAAATTGCTGAACTCCTCTCTGCCTCAACATCTGATCTGCAAAATGTGAATTCTTACAGCACTTAATACAAGCAGGTGACTGTGCTTTTGCAGGGCCAAATACCATAATGTGCGTGAACCATTTAGCATAGTGCCTAGCACCTGGCTCAGGGTTCGTGAAATTGAAGCTATTATTGTTACAGTAAGCAGATACGTGAATGTTAAAATCCTCCCAAAGAATGCTGATTTTAAGTGATTATAACATGAACATTTACCCTACTTTCTCTAATCATCTTGCTATTCTCTATCTTGGAGGAGGTTCCATAGGAAAGCCTGTCTCTTAGCTGTCTAGGGGCCGAGTGGCTTCTTGGCTGTATGTTCTGCACTGACAAATACCAACTTAATATGGGCTGTAACCACAAGGTAGACAATAGTGAAAAAGAGAATGGAACCACTATAGGGATCACCTTTACTGGACAGAGACCTTAGAATATTGGCCACTGTAAACCTACCTCTTATGTTACAGTTTGAAAGGATCTTGATAAATAATTAAATCCCTTCCCTCATTTCATAAGTAGGAAACTGAGGTCCTCATGTTAATAGGCAGAACTAGGACAAAATTCAGACCACTCTTTCACTTTATATTATATAAATTTTGTGTTATGAAAAATTTCAAAAATCATAGATGCACAAAAATAATGAACTTTTATATATTCATCATCCAGGTTCAATAATTATCAACCTGTTGCCTTTCTTGAACAACCAATTTTGCATCTGAGTCTGGTGCTATTTATATTCCTTTACAGAGCTGTTGAGAACCAATGTCTTACAGAGCATACCCCAGGCAAAGAAATGCAGGAATAGAAAGAGGACATACCACAACAAACAAAGGCAGGCTGTCAACAAATGCCTAAAATGTAGAAAATCTGCTTAAGTGATTTTTACAACACTCTAGAAAACAGAGATTTGTTCTGAAAGGACACTGTTCCTTTAAATTACTTACTGATCCCACCCAGATCTTGCACCCTGGCTAAATGCCTGACCACTCTTGCTTTAACTTAGTCTAATAAACATGAATAAAAGATTGCAAAAGATCCCAAAGCAAAGACAATCTTTATTATCCACAAGAACAGAACAATATCAAATAGCCAACTCCATACCCAAGCATGGTCCTTGCTATTGGTATTTGCTTAACCAGTCTTTAATTCCTGTTTGACAAACTTTATAAGGTAAGAAATAACTGTTTTGTTATAATCACTTGAAATCAGATAGGACCATCTAGGAACTATGGAATATTAAAAGATTTGCATACTTATGTGAAGAAAGCTTATCAAAAATTTTTAGCTTCTGCTATAACTTTAAATTAATTATTAGAAAAGTATGAATAACTGTTAAAATGTAAAATTTTTAAATTTATTTTACAGTTCTTTTTAAAATTAATTTTTTATTTGCAGTCTACCACATAGCAATGTAATGAAGTTAATATCTCTTGGGATGTCTTTTTCTTGATTTGGAACAAGTTTTTTTTTAATTCAGAATTAATTACAGAAAACTTCATAACTTGGTTTGGCAATTTGAATAAAGTATTTGGTCATTTTATCTTCATGTAGAAATAAATGAGATGCAAACACTGAATAAAATTGGTAAACTCTGCCAAAAGATAATTTTATTTTTGATAAATCATAAGATATAAAGTCATTTGGATTTATTGATCATGATATTTATCCAAAATAAATTTCAGGACAAAATGACAAAAATATGGCATTTGTTTAAAGATAATCATTGTTGCTGCATTTATAAAGTATAACCTATAGTACATAGAGACGCTTATATTTCTTTCATTTAACTTAAGGCATTTCTCCCCTGAAACTACTTTGCTTGTATGTGATATCTAAATGAGAGAAAGGTGAAAATTATTTAAAAAGGAGGCAAAATAAAATATGCCAAAAGTGATTAGGAATGGGTGGGCTCTTAAGATGTCAAATTAATAAAGAAAGATTTCTGGAAGTCAAAGAAACTAAAAATCTAGAGAAAGGCGTAAGAGTGTCTTATGGATAATAACAGAAAACAGGAATAGCAAGACTTGGGTTTGGGAGAGGTAGATAAGAGATGTCAAAGCAAATAGTAATAAAATATGAGATATCGTGAGTATTGTTCATGAATAAGTTGTGTTGGTGAACACTGTATACACAAGGCTTCAGGAATGAATTCATGATAATGTGCCAAGAAAATTGTGTGAGCAGGTGCTTAATTTTGGAAAGATAAGTCTTTATTTAAAACCAAGATTAAAGCCCAAAATGGGCCTATGAATAAGAAGGAAGTGGTTTTCTTCTCAGGATTCTGCATGGAAATCATCTTCTTTAGGTTTTTGAGGAATTTTCTTGATCATGTAGCTTGTGAACTCTCTCTTATTCTCAATGAAATTCAATTCTCAGTGTCTTTTTCCAAAACTTCTGAGAAGTTCCTTTATCTCAACAAAACAGAAAAGTCACATGTAAACCAAAGCATGGTGATGTCACTCCCTGACCCTCTGAAAATGCAATAGCAGCTGTATTTTACTACATAGCCTTATCCTTACACTAATTTTCAGAGTTCAATCCTTCTATATTCTCTCATATTTTACATCCTCTGTGTTCTTTCACTTGGTTAGCAAGGGATTACTCGGGGATGGATGTCCTCCGTGTGTTCTATTTCCTTAGCCCACTTGTTCTTCTTTTTTAAAATACTCAGCCGTCTGCACATCTTAGTATACGTGATCTGAAGAGCAGTTGACATTTTGCCAATTACACTTGATGCACTTGCCAACAGATGCTTGGCCAGTTTAGTAACAAAGTCTGTTTAATAAACGTTCTTCTAGATGATGCTATTGGAGGAACAGACTATGGCATGGAGCCATTCATTGGGCCATTCTTAACCCAACAGCCTTGCTTCCCTTTGGGGTTCCTCGTTCTGGCATGTAGGAAAGAAGTCAGTCACCCATCTCATTCCTCACTGTCTTTGCATATATTTCCACCCTCTATTCAGAGCCTGGAAAAAATCATGCTCATGATTTCCCAGTTCCTATTCTCTGAAGCAAGGTGCCAAGAAGGAAAATGTGATTGCTCTTCCAGACCTTCTGAAGTAAATATAGTTTAAGCAGGCAAGCATTTCCAAACTGGAGAACATTGGTACAAAGTAAGCTTTCTTGTTCCTTGGTGGGTATTCTAAGTTAGCCACCATGATTCTTCTTTTGCCAGGGAGCCTGTGGGTTTAAAAATCATTTGGTGTGTAGCTAGGCATATTGAAGGATGAAGACAGCTGAAGATTTTCATACAGCATTAGATATTTTCATTGTTAATCTATCCACAAAAATAGTTTCACAGAGCTGTTCAGAGGAGTGCTTCCTGATTTCAAGTCCTATTTCTGTCCATTAGTTCTTCCAGCTAACACTGAAAAAAGTGAAAGTGCTGCTTAGAAGATCTATATTTTTTTTGCTCCTGCACTCTTCTGATGCATCATATGCAGCTGAGTCCAGCTTGGAACTCTGGTGGAGGTGAAGCTTCCAATGTAAGAGTAGAAAAGAGAAACTGGAGTCCATGGAAGCAGAAGGGCAATTTAATTTTTGACTTGACCTTTGAACTCATGGAACTTGTACATGTAATATTAAGACTGAAATGGTGGTGGTTCTTTACAACCCTGTAAAAATTTCGGGATCATCAGGACTTAGTTATAATGCAAGTGAACAAAACAACCGTGTAGCAATCTGATATCAACTTGAAGAGTGTGGGTATATCAGAGCAAAGCCTGTGACTGAACCACAGTCACTACAAAGGGTAGGACTGAAATGTTTTTATATGGCTCTCCTCACTTCCTGTGCCCCATTAATAAAATGGGAAATTCAGACTACTTAGATGTAATTCTTTGAATATATAGAAATATTCACTGATAAATGTTTGGCTGTGATGCTACGATTTATTTGGATTAAAAACTTCTAAAATCTCAATATGGCTATTGTTCTATGAACAGGAATGCAAACCCTTTTCTCTTGTTACCTACCAGTTTTTAATTCAGCTGACTTGAAATTAAAAATCGCAAACACTATTCTATTAATGTATTTATAACTGATTTTCTATTAAAGGTGCTACAAGGCAGATGATTTTTCACAATCTACCATAATGTGGAACAAACATTTTGTCTTTTATCTCCTGCTTTTGCCAGCTTTTATGAGTCAAACAATATATGGACAAAGAAAGAAAGGATTGAAGTCCAATTTACTTGCAAGGAAAAATGATCTCCAGGGTAAAAAAAAAATGTTTTGTTTTGTTTTTAATCACAGGCATACCTCAGAAATATTGCAGGTTCCTTTCAAGACCACTGCAATGAAGTGAATATTTCAATAAAAAGAGTCAAGTGAATTTTTTGGTTTCCTAGTGCATACAAAAATTATGCTCAAGATATACTGCAGTCTATTAAATGTGCAATAGTATTACATCTAAAAAAAAGGACATACCTTAATCATAAAATACTTTATTGCTAAAAATTTGCTAACCATCATCTGCGCTTTCAGTGAATCATAATCACTGATCACAGATCATAACAAATGATAATGAAAATGTTTAAGGTATTGCAAAAATGTGACACAGAGATATGAAGCAAGTAGATGCTGTTGGAAATACAGTGCCTATAGACTTGTTTAATTCAGGATTGCCCCATATCTTCAGTTTGTAAAAAACCCAGCATCTGGAAAGTGCAATAAAACGAGGTTTGCCTGTGTTAGTTTAGCCTCTTAAACCACTAATATGAATTTTTCCAAATAGCAGTTGATGAAAATAGCACACTACATACATATATGTGACATTCTATTTTGATATATATTATGGTAATAATACACCCTATATATTTATACAGCATACTTGTAAAAACATCAGTTTTTAGAGTTTTGTAGGATATTTTTACATTTATTATCTCATTTGAGCCTCATAGTAGCCTTGTAAAATGGGCATAACAGAGAAAGCCACTCTCATAAAGAAATTGAGGCCCAGCAAGGTTAAGTGACAAACTCAAGGCCACAGGCAACTTAACTAGTAAGATACAGAGTCAGGATTCACACTTAAGTTTTCTACTTTTAAAGTTTCTTTTTCCCTTACTGTTGCTACAGTGTAATGTGTACAGTCATTTGAAAAGAGTAAGAAACAAAAAACACACCAAAACAAGATGGGGCCTCACCAATATGACCCACAACCTGACAATTAGGCAGAATATTATTTACTTCTGGACAATTTTGCCCAATATGTGTTGAATTTTTAAACTATAATGCAATTCTTTTTTTCCCCAGTTTAAGCAGATTTTATTTTGGGAAGATGCTCAGAATATATAGTATTTTGTTTATTTGTTTGCTTTTGACTTGCATGATTTTACAAGACGAAAAGAATTTATAAACTTGCGGGAGATTTAGTTTTCTTCAATTTAAGCCCTATCTCCATGCGCCTCTCCTTTTCACTTCCCTCTCTTCTCAAAAACAAATAATACACAACACATCACTTTAGGGCTTTCATTATGCAAAGTTGTTTCATGAGTGTGGATAAGTGTTGTGCCTAACCTATTTGTTCTGTTTCAGACTCCACTTGCTTCATAGATGTTGTCTTCATTGTGGACAGCTCTGAAAGTTCTAAACTTGTTCTCTTTGATAAACAGAAAGATTTTGTGCATAGCTTGAGTGACAGAGTTTTCCAGTTGACATCAGTTTACTCCTTGAAATATGACATCAAATTGGCAGCCCTTCAGTTTAGCAGCTCTGTCCAAATTGATCCACCTTTTTCTTCCTGGAAGGATCTGCAGACTTTTAAACAGAGAGTCAAGTCTATGAATTTCATTGGGCAAGGTACCTTTTCTTATTATGCTATCACCAATGCCACTAGGCTGCTTAGGAGAGAAGGACGTAAGGATGGTGTGAAAGTGGCTTTGCTGATGACTGATGGCATTGACCATCCAAAGAATCCAGATGTTCAAAGTATTTCTGAAGATGCCAGAACTGCAGGAATATTATTTATCACCATTGGACTTTCCACTGTTGTCAATGAAGCCAAACTTCGTTTGATATCTGGGGATTCATCCAATGAACCCATTCTACTGTTAAGTGATCCAACCCTTGTAGATAAAATTCAGGATCGCCTGGTAGGTATTTAATAGGTTGGTTTTATATTTATTTTTTTCTTCACATCATAATATTGATATGTTAGTTACAAATTCTGTAAGCATAGATATGGGATCAAAAAGATAAAAGAAAAAAATTCATCTTGGAAACAGAGAGGAGAATCTTTCTTAAGTCTCCACTTCCTTTAGACCAGATGAACTGGGAAAGTACCAGGCTCATTCCCTGGAAGTGCATTCCGAACATTATTGCTAGCCCATGCTGCAATCGCACATCGCAGGCTCCTGACGTACATTCCATTTGTGCTCAATTTGTGGTTGGCTATATTTGTATTAAGTTGGTCTTTTCCCATTCCACAACTGCAGAATTATTTTGGACTCTGTCTTACCTACTGCCATATTCTGTTCCTGTTATCTTCTTCCTTAGGCGTTAACAGAGCCATCCAATTTACAACCCCTGCAACCTGCAGTCACCCAACAGTTTCTCCCATCAGATCCATGAGGGTCTCTTGATTTGACAGTTGTTATGTTAGTTATGATTGTTAGCTGTTATCAATGCTTTTCATTGATGATTGCCCAGCTGTGTGTGCCTTGCTGCTTGGAAAAACACAAGACAAAGGAATCAAAATGAAATCCCTCTTCACATTATTTCTCAAGAAACACACTCCTGGAGAAAATATGGTTGATTAGGTAAAAGCTGAAAATTGATTTTCTTAAAAATACTGACTTTGTTTGCTTTCTTGAGAAGAGGGCAAGGCAAATGTGTTCTTTAGGGACTGAGCATTTCATATGGCTCTCTTCTATAGGTTGCAAAAAATCTCAGGCCTTATTCCAGAGATTGTTTTGCCCTTTTGCCCCTTCTGCCAATCCTTTTCTCCAATATTACTCTTATTTTTTTATCTGTTGTTTTTAGCAGGAGCTGCTGAGTTTAATCTAAATAATAGTTATAATATCTTGAGTGTTCAGTGTATTAAACATTGCTCTGAGTACATATTTTATTTTATTCATTGTTCACAATAATCTTAAAATATCCGTACTATTATTATCTTCATTTTATAGCTGAAAATTGAAGGACAGGCAAACTCCAGAGTGTACATACCTGTAATCAGAATTGCTTGGAAACAGTTAAGCAATAACTTTCCTCCAAAGTTTCTGTTGTTTCTAGCCTTTTTTGCCCTGGACTTTGGGGTGGCTGGGGAGAGTTCTGGTGAGAACAGAAATGGTGGGCCCAGCTCCCAGGGTGCTTGGGTGAGTGCTCACTCTGAGCATCTCTTTTGCATCAAAGGGAAACATGCAGGGGTGTCTGGCTAACTGCCTGGCCCTACCTGTGCCGTAATTTAAGGAGTCCTTACTAGTGGACTTAGAAAATCCCAGCATGTGCAGGAGAGAACCCTGGAGTTGTGATAATGAGTCGCCAGCTGCTGACTATAGAAGATGAGGGACAAGGAGCCCCTTGTTTGGCCAGATGTGCAGGCTCAGAAGGCTCCCTGCAGACAAACCCTCACCGAGAGCTCCTGCCTAACTGAGAACACGGGCTCTTGGCAGCAGGCTTGAAGCAGAACTTTTTGTCTGTTTCTGAGGAACCCAGAAAATGACCAGGCTTGCTGACTACCCTGCTTTTCCTTAGCATCCTGGGACTTCTGCATGTTTGTTCAGATGGGAGTTCTGTGAACAAGCCACCGCTTAGGGGGAGAGGCTCCTTTTCAAACACTTCCAGTATCCAAAGGGCTCACTAGGTTCTTCACTGTTTCAAATTGCCGCCTTGTAGGAGGCAGGACATGATTCTTGGTCAGATGGTTCAAAAATTCCTCATCTATTTCTATTACATTTCTGGTTGAATTTTTAAACTTTTTATTTTGAAATAAATATGTAGTTGCCTTTAAAGAATAAGCTAATTAGGTATAATTTAAGTACAAAACTGCATCTATTTAAACTACACAATTCCAAGAGTTTTGATAGATGTATGTTTTCAAAAGTACCAGCACAATTAGGATATAGACCATTTCCATTACCCCCAGAAGTTTCCCCATGCCTCTTTGCAATATAGCCTTGCCTTGCCTCTGCTACTGATCTAATTCTTGTCATTCTAGGTTAGTGTACACTTTTTAGAATTTTATATAAATAAAGTGTACAGTGTACAGTATTCTTTTTGTGTCAGGCTTCTTATCCCCAGCAAAATGATTTTGAAGTTCATCTGGGTTGTTTTTTGTATCAGCAGTTTATTCTTTAACAACAACAACAAAAAACTATATTAACATTACATTACTGATAAGTCATTTTGTGTGTTTTTTAGAAAGAATTGTTTTAAAGTTGAAGTACAATTGATATACAATATTGGTTTTAGGTGTACAGCATAGTGCTTCAACAATTATATACATTATGAAATGCTCACCACAGTAAGTGTAGTTACCAGCTGTCACCATAGAAAATAAGTCACAGGAATGAAAAGTACAGCATAGGGAATTCAGTCAATAATATTGTAATATCTTTGAATGGTGATAGTTTATTCCTTTTTACTGAGTAGTCTTCTGTTGAATTTAATGGATATGAGACAAATCAAGGAATCACTACACATTCCACAACACTTCTAGTAGAAATTATTAGGTAAGAAACCCATGAAATTTTCCAGTTTTGAATTCCCCGAGAGATCTGAGATTCTAAACTAAAGAGGATATGTAAAATATTTTTAATGCTATTTATTAAGATTTACACAACAGTGTTAATAAGAAACAATCTACCATACATATTATTTTGTCCTTTAGAAGAGTAAGAGAGTATATGTGGAGATCAAAATAAGTTATTTTCTCTATCATTTCTGATATTAAATATTTAAAAAACCATTATGGGACTAAAGACTGTGACCAATTGTTCTTATTCTGAAGAGTATTAAGAAAAATATAAATTTAGTGTGTCCCCCCACTCACATACTAAGAAGGAATCAATGTGATTATTTCTATATCATCTTAGAAACCTATGCTTGATTACTTAATTACAGTTTATTTCACATTTTTTCATGGCTTCCTCTGTTTGGTGCCTTATTTCTGTTCTCTCAGATTTTGTAGTGGCTATTTGGCTACTGTATTAAGTTGCAAATATTTATTGCCATAGAGTTTGTAATCCTTGTTACTAAGTAAGATCTTTATTCTCCTCCCATTTACTATCATGCTAGTAACTTTGGCACCTTCCTTACATTTCTGTCCCCTCCTCCTAGCACTGAACTCATACTCAATCCCCAGTTGGCTACTCCGTCCTAGCCTCCTCCTTTCACGTACACATCATAAAACTTGACTCCATTGTTAAAATGTACCTTCTTTTGCTCGAGGGAGAGTCTGTCTCTATCTTTTCCAGTTAAACTGCAGTCTCCACCTAGATCGTAAGTGAACATGCCCTTCCCCTGCTTTGACCATGTTCTCTCAGCTGTTCTCCACACGGCCTTCCTCTCTGCCCAAGTGAAAGCCCTCACTAGTTTCCAAGGTGTCCAGCTCTGTCCATGTGAGCCCTTCAGTCCACTCATTTTAAATGCGCTTCCTTTGTCTTACCACCTACACTAATCTTTATGACTTTTTTCCTCATAAACTTTGACATATAGGAAGAACAGCATTCCATCAATGAGTTGGTCCTTTGCATTCCTCTCCTTGAACTTACCCAGAAAACCCACCTATTCTGAGAAGCATCATGTTACCCTCCCTCCCCACACACCTAGCTCCTCTGTCCCACGCTGCTTGCTCTGCACTGTTCTCTGGGCCGATAGACTAGAAGTGCCCCTAGGGATGGAGCTTTGTTCTTTGTTTGAAACAGTCTTGTCTATTGTACAGTTTTGGGTCCATTTTTGTTTCCATAGAAATATGAATTCCAACAAACACAACATCAAATGACTTCCAGAAATAATTAGTTGTGTTGTTATGGTTTTAAGCCTCATGGCACATATTTTTAAGGAATAATATGGCAAAGCAGAAATTAAATTTCCAGAGAGCTGGAAAAAAGTGTAAAATTACATACCAAGCACAGAAGCACCTAAATTCATGAGTTTAAAAACAGATGTTGGATAATAGAAGGATATTGCTTATCATAAAAAGCTTGTAAAGTGACAAAACTTTGAATTTTTCTTTATTTCAGTCGTTGTTTTAAAAATCACAATTTGACTTGAATTATTCATTGACTTATTGTCTCTTGAATTCCTTTTCCCTAGCTTCCTCCTAGAAAAAAACAAGATTCTGACATGTGTTTTAAATATTTTCATAATTTGGATCATATTTTATATATCCATTTGTAAGATGGTTTCTCACTTAATGTTTTGGAGATTTTTCTATGTTGAAATGTGTAGGTCCAATCCATTCATTTTGCCAATTAGTATTTCACTTATTGACTCATTCTAGTATTGATAGATATTTTAGTTATTTCCAATTTTTCACTATTAAAAACAAATGCTGAAATATACAAGGAACAAGAATTTCTCTAGGGTATGTCTGGAAGGGACGTCAGGATAACAGTAGAAATAAGGACTTGTCCGGGTAGCCTATAGCTAAAGTCTACACATTGTCAGCTTTCTGGGCACAGCCAAGTGTTCTAGAGAGGGGGAATGCCATTTTGTATTGAGTCTGTCAGTGTACCATTTCTCCATAGATGTACTACTTCTTACAGATACAAGTCTCATCTGCTCTCAGCTTGGATTTAAATGGCTAGTAATTTAATATCACTGGGGTGTCAAGGAGGTGGATGGAAGAGAAAAAAAAGAATATAGGTGAGACTGAATTTTGTAGAGTCTGTGGCTGGAGTTTTATGACTTCTGAGACCATTTCATCAAAACTTCTCATTTTATGTATGTGGAAAATACCCAGAAGGATTATAGGACTTGCCCAAGGCCACATGGCTGGTTAATGGTAGAAGCAAAATAAAATCCATTTATAACACTTGAATTAATTAAACTAATATTTTCCCCTAAGTTTTCCTCCCATTAATCACAAGAGCCACTGAAAGCATTTTACTGTATTGTCCCTCTATGCTATTAGTTTGTATGGAAATAAAAAGCAGTAAAACAAAACTAAAGGGATGTGGAATCCTCCAAAAAGGTACAACTCTGACTTATCCTTAACTTCCTCATGATGTCATTTTTAGTATCTTGCAACAAATAGTCTAGTGTTTTTTATTTGTTTTTTTTCTCATATGCAGATTGCCTCTTTTGGTTCAGTCATAATGCAATGGTTTGACTCATAATTTCTACCTTAAGAGAGCAATAATTCTATCTAGAAACATATGCTAATTTCTTTCCAGTATTTGACTTCAGACATGGCCTCCAGTGTACACCTGTCTGGTAGAACCCCATTGACCTGACGTGGGATAGTGAGGCCTAGCTGTTGGACAAAAACCAGGTTTTGAGTTTCTCTAAAATTATGAATATGAACCCATTTTGAAAAATATTCCTGTGTGGTTAAGTATGAAGAAGCACTGAACTTGGTCAGGTGGCTCAGCCCAAGCGTGTGACCTTGGGCAAGTCACAGCACTGCTGACCCAGGTTTCCTTATAGCAAATGAGAGGTTACACCTGATTGACTTCTAAGGTTCCCTAACAGTTAATGACATTATTACCTTAAAGTTAATGTTTTAATGCTGAAAAACAAGTGCACATATGTATAGAGATGAAAAAATAAAATAAAATATACATTTATGTATTCTGCCTAAGTCTTTGTAAGCAGAAGTGGGAAATTTCTCATTATGACTGATTATTATATGACTCAGAATGTTCCCTGGGTGGTTGGCTGGTAGACTTTATTGCTTTTACAAGGATAAAAAGGCTGAATTGCTATTCTTCTTGGAAATTGCATATCCCATAGGGAATAATTAAGGCTAATAAGAAGGTGGTAGCAGAACCATGAATTGAGTTAATGTTTCATTCTTTTTTCCCTCCTAGGATATCTTATTTGAAAAGAAGGTAAGCACCACATGCTTTGATTACTGTGAATTCCTCTAAAAGTTTGCATAACCAAATCAGTATTATAAATCACATTAGAAGATACAGCGTGACTAAATAAAAATGCTTAATTCTTTTTACAACGAGCCCCTCTATTTTGAGGCAGTCATCTGATTTCTTTTATGCCACCATATCTACTGCAGACTGGAAAGTGTTTAAAAAGTAAGAAATATTTAATATGATTTTAGAAATCAATTGTAAGCAGATGGCATATTGTTTGCTTACTTTGATATGACTTCCTTTATTCTAAGCATGTCTCTGACACTAGCTACTCATGGGGGTGTTCCACCTAGGGAGGTGTGTGGTATTGGCCAGGGTTAGGCCTCTGTTCCTCAGAGGCAGAGCTCAGTCACCCCCTGCTGCCTAATTATTGACTTTAAGCTCATTCTCCTTCCTGATGGTAGCAACTAGACCAGGTGGCAAAGTACACTGGTCAGTGTGGGTTGGAAAGTATTTAGCACGGTAGATGCTCATCAGCTTGCTGAGGACTCCAGTACTAGACATGCATTTCTTAATGTAGTTAGGAACATCTGAGCTTTGTTCTATAAACCGCTTATCTAACATCAGGAAATTAATAGGTAGTATTGCAAAATATATGAGGAGCCAACCAAACCTTCTAGAGCATCAGGTCTTACTGAATTATACTTGCTAAGTTACACCGTTATTTTATGTGCCATTAAGACAGGAAAAAAACTCTGCCAATTAAACTATGATATAGTAACTTCTCAACAACAGCAATTTTCATTTTATACTTAGGGTAATAGTCCTTTTAGATTTAATTAGATACATATTTTTAAAATCTTCTATCACTTTTCTACATACATTAAGGGAGAATATAAGCAAACTAAATTGGTTATTTCTAAAACTTCTTCAAATCCTGAGTCTAAATCACTTTTTGTCTTGGAGTCACTTTTGCCCTTGTTTTTCCACACAATGCCGGCCTCTGTGCCATCAGGAGCTTGGCGATGAAGCATTTCTGGAGAGGGCTCCAGTAGGGTTCCTGGAGCTTTCCTTCATTCCATTCTGTGAATTTTGAAGTGCATGTGAAGGAAATAAAAATTTCATCATAATCAGGCCTGATTCATATAAAACTCATCTGATTTCAGAGATATTGAAGAAAAATGTGCATCTTGAAATTGATAAAATATGGTATAGAGTAAATGTTTTCCTTTGTTGAGTAAAGTATTTATTTCTGTATTATTGAGCTTTGATGTGTTATATAAGAGAAACAGTAGAAATTCCAAAAATCCACTGAAAATTTTTATTTTCCCCTCTTAAGTGGCAACTAGATGTTATATATGGGATGGGAGTTCTATTTTATTTAATCATGGAAATGTTTAATAATACCCTATTAGCTGGCTCTTACTAGATCTGAGTTTTCCTAGAATTTAATAGGGAGCTGCAAAATCTTCATAAATTCGCAAGGTACAATTTCTGCAAGGGAGTGTTCTATTTAGTTATTTACTGAATGAGATTTTAAATGTTATATTCCACTGTGTGTTAATTGTATTTCATTATTGATTCAGTGTGAACACAAGATCTGTGAATGTGAGAAGGGGGATCCAGGTGATCCAGGGCCTCCCGTGAGTATATTTCTACTTTGCACTTTGGATCAAGTCAGGAAGATGACAGCTCCACTCACACTTGAAAACACTAGGGCTGTTCTGTGCTGTTGGAAGGTAGTTGTGTACAAATAGCAGCAAAAATGGAAATGCTGTTTCTTTCTTTTATTCCTAATGGGATACATTCTGCCCTTAGAAATAAGCCTAGGATTGTGCTGACCTGAACTAAGGGTAGATTTGGTTCAAAATGATGAAGTTGTTTTCACAAAGGATATTTCAGCATCACTTCCAATGTGGTAACCGAGGCCAGAATTTCTCAATCCTGAACTGAAATTTTAGAAAAAGAGATCATGCAAATCCTCAGTGCTTTAGGCAAAACTTTATCCTATCCCACCCAGAAGCAAGTGGCACAAACCTCCCTGGAAGTTAACTGTGGCTTCACTGTATCCACAGACAACACTGTGTGGCCTGGCCAGGAGGAAGCTGGTCAGGAAGCTTTGGGGAATAGAGTGAATTAATGAAGTGGAAGTAACCACTTGGAAGCCAGAGGTAAATAGCAGGATTTACAGTGACTCAGTACTTGAAAAGAGAATCCCAAAAGGAGAACTTCCTTTATATTCTGGCCTAATATCTGGTAGGTACCATGTCTATACTGGGAGGGCATTTGCAATGACATCATGATGACTGGAGATGCTGAGCATTCCTCTGACTCATATCATTAGATGCATCCATACTGCAATTCACTATTCCATTTACATGTGATCTCAAAACTTAGAGGCCAAAAGCCTAGTAGAGATATTTCACAAAAATGCATGGATACAAGTTTTGAACTAATTCTTGTATCTGGAGTTTTTTTTTCAAACCATTCCACCAATCAAGGGAGTGTTTGTCTTTTTTTTTCTTCAAAATATAAGTAGGATACATTACATGATAATGTGGAAGAGAGTAGAAGCTGGTTTCTAAACTTCTCTTCCTATGAAGTCTTAGTTTATACTTGTTACATCAAGAGATTGACTAGGGAAGGTTTACTTGGGATATTCAATTATGGTTTGGAATAAACAGGAAGATAGTTTATAGTTGCTGAACTAATCTGATAATTTAGTCACTCAGTGTTGTTGGAGATTACTGTACTGTTTTAATGGGTAGCCATAGAACTGTGTTATTTAACATTTATTGAATGTCCCCAAAATCAGTTCTGAGAAAAGCAAGCTTTTTGGCAGTTTGAGAATGGGAAAACAAAATGCATTCTGGAACAAGATTAAAGAACTCTCTTCTCTCATCTTTTGAGATTGTCCCTTGGACATCAGGAAGAGGGAGAAATTATCCTCTTTAGGGCAAATGTAGAGAATCTGCCTACTCAAGACTGTGCAGTCTTCCTGGTGTGGAGATAAGGAGAGATCAGAGTTGAATCTCTGATGTGCATGTAAAGCTTTTCACAGTCTTCCCTCATTTTATGGGATGAATCTAATTAGAAATTATTACAAGGTGTAGGAAACTAGTAGGATGCCCTGTTCAATATCATATTTTCCCCTTTGCTTTCAGGGTACACATGGAAACCCAGGTATCAAAGGAGAGCGAGGACCAAAAGGAAACCTGGTAATGCATAAAGATATTTCCTTTAAACCAGCATATTTATTTAAAGAACAAAAATTAAGAAAACAAAGAGCATTGCAGCATCTGTCAATGCCAAAAATCTGATGATTTCTGTAAAGAATATAGGATGCCCATTTCCTACTCTATCTGGCTTGTGTTAATTTGCATTTACAAAATTCTAAGTAACATATGACAACTATTTTACTCAACAACTGTAGGAAACCTAGAGATATGGAAAAATATAGAAAATTGTACATAAGTAATGGTGGCCCAAATTAATTACCACAATGGTCAATGAATTACTAACAGATATCCCATATCAGATTGATGTTGGCTCTTATGTTTTTATACACCCACTTTATACATAACAGACCTATGATAATAATAGAAAAAAAACACCAGATTGTCTCTTACTCCTAGACCATTTTCAGGCATTTCCTCAATTTTTTTCTTTGTGTACACATTTTTAAAAAGTCCTCAATTATTATTTTAAAAATCAGATCATGGTTAGGATGATAGTCTTATGGTCTTCCAAGTTCAAGAGCAGCTCAAGGAATCACAGGAGAGAGATTAGCAATATAACTACTCCAAATTTTAAGACAATATTCTGCATAATGAAAACTAATAATTAAAATACAGAGGAAAACATACTGGGAAATATTTTCATCAAATACAATGGACTGTGTTACTTTCTGTATTGGCCAAGACTACAAAACAGATGAGACAACATCAAACCTCTAGTAATTAAATGATCAAAGGACACAAACAATTTTCAAGAGAGGAAGTAAAACTAGTAAATGTTTAATTTCACTGGATAGTGAATGAAATTTAAATAGAGACAATGAAGTATCCTTTAATACTAATTATTCACATTTTACAAACTTTGGAGTCCAGTGTTGTTGGGTAGGCTGTTTGTCAGAGAGCAATTTTCTAGTTTACAATGTTTGTTTCTTTTCTGTTTCCAATTTGCAAAAACATTTCTTACAGTAGGTAACAAAGCAACATCAAAATAATAACAACTAGTGATAGCAATGTGGTGATAAAAGTGGTTTGCTCTTTATTGCAAAGGTAGGCACAGCATTTTGGAAAGCAATTAAGTACTGCCTAAGTAGCATTCAAATAGTCAAAATTTTTACCCAATAACTCTGTTTCTGAGAATATATTTAGGGAGATAATATAATAAGTTACATGCATGAAAGTATTTTTGCCAAATGCCTGCTTGTCAAGGAGTATTGTTGGGTGAGTTTACAATACACTCACAAGGACATGCATACAGCCCTACACTCACATGCTATTGGTCCAAATTGATGCCACAATGTCTTCTTTTTGCTTTGTTCAAGAGTTGTTATAAGTCTATGCTCACATGTCATTTATTTTTATTTATTTATATGTATTAAAAAAATTTTTTTTGGTATCATTAATATACAACTACATGAGCAACATTGTGGTTACTAGATTCCCCCCACTATCAAGTCCCCACCACATACCCCATTACAGCCACTGTCCATCAGTGTAGTAAGATGCTACAGAGTCACT